AGTGATCAGCCTTCTGTAAAGTTAAGATCACAAAATTTAGGCCTTCTAAAGGAAAAAAAGGGAAAGGCTTTGGGATTTGTTGTTCAAATAGCTTTTGTAATACTTTCTACACGGTTAACAGTTTTTTGCATTAAGCGAACATTGCTGGTAAGGGCAAAATTTCTTTAAAATGGGATAGCATCAGTTTGAAGCCAGTTAGCTGCCCAAGTGTTATTAACTGCCACTGTCCAAACTGCTTATAACCTTTGTTTCTTTGTTACTTTGTAGTATGCTTTTTCACCAGATATTTCACAATTATGCATTGTGTAGGAGTCAGACAAAAAAAAAGTTTTTTTGATATCTGAAACAAAAATTCCAGTGCTACAGTTTTGTGTATCCTTTAATATACATTATATGCTTATCTGATAGCTTCAGACATGAAGGATGCTACAGCCTTGTACTTTATTTTTCCACAGACTGCAGTTATCTAGTAGAGTTTTAGAGGAGGTGTTAACTTTGAGTGCTAAGTATAATGTCCCTCAAGAATTTTATTTTTAACAACTAACTGCAACATACTTGTTCACAGAGATTTGTTCCAGTACAAATCACAGATTGGCTCTGATGGTCTTCACATCTTCCAATTTGCATACAAACAAATCTGAGCTTCACAGGAGATTTTGTAAAATGAAAAAGTGTCACAAGTGTCCCAGAAATATGCAGCTTTGTGAATATTTAAGCAAGCAGCATGAATGCAGCAATCTAAATATCTTTGTGTGCCTGGCAAGAGGAAGACTAATCATGTGAACCTGGTGACATCTTGTTTTTTCACTCTTGCCCATGTCCTTAAGGTATCCCCTAGAATATCTATGAGAGACTGGAATCAACTCAGTGCTTCCCAGTGGCACAGGCAAAGTTTAAGTTGGTCTTCTCAAAGGTAGTGACAAAACTGTCTCCTCACCCTTGGGTGTAGTAAAGTTCAGCCCTTGCATTCAGAGGTGGGATTGATAAGGGTGAAAATGCTGTTGAGTGGGAGCAAAGTCTCCCACGGTAACATGACAAAAGAGCAGTTCGGAGCAGATCCAGGCTGGTTGGTGGCAGCAGAGAAAGTGACCTGAGATGGGTCAGTGGGATCTCTGGGTAGATAAGTTTGGGAGTTAGGAAGCCCCTAAAAGTTTGGAAGGGTTGAGATAAAGTTTGGAATATTCGGTAAGGGCAAGGTGACTCTTAAGTCAAAGGAAGAGCTACCAACCCCAGAGCAGGGGCCATTACGCCTTGACCCTATCCTTGGTGGCAAAATAGGCAATAATCATTATTCTATTACAGATAATGTAGACAGTGGTGACCTTGCTGTCTTTGGCAGCTGCCTCTCTATGTAACCTGTTGCCTGTTTATGGCTAAAGCTAGCCTGTTAGTTATTTTGTATTCTTGCAGTAAAACAATAGCCTCTACCGTAACATGCTTACAGTGTGAATTTTATTTTCTGATCCTTGCAGGATGAGCACAAAAGATTGTCACTGTGAGAAATGAACATTTAAGTGATACACATATAGATATATAGATAAAACATAGTTATCTATATACAGGGATAGACTGCAAATGGAAAAACTGAAATATCTTTAGCACTTCTTGAGACTAAACAAACACAGGGCCCTTAGCTTCTCCTCGTACGGCCTGTGCTTCAGCCCCCAAAATATCTCAGTAGCCCTTATTGATAAACTTGCTCCATTTTATTAATATCTCTCCTGTACTGGGAGAATAAAGACTAGTCAGAGAATTTGAGACACCACCTCACAAGCGCTGAGTAAAGGGGCCTAATCATTTCCTTCAACCTACAGACTGGGAACATTTTCCTTGCTGACTGTCCCTTCGGAGATTGGAGATTAACTAAGTCCCTACTAAGTGACTATTTTCATTTCTCTTCAGACAGGGAAATTATGCTTAACTATCAACATAAATGGCTTAGAAATCAGAAATGCGTCAGAAATACCAGTTCTGCCAATAACTGAAAATAAAGCATATTGATTATACTCAAAACAACATGTATTTCAGCAGGCTCAGTTTGTGCAAACCCATCTTCTTTCATGTCCTTCATGACTTAACAGCCTCTGACACTAGAATTTCAGATTCACATTGTTCAGCTGATCATTAAGGGTAGGGTATATTTGATGTTATTGGTCTGCTATTTAGAATCATAGAATCATAGAATCATAGAATCATTAAGGCTGGAATGAGGCCTTAATGATCTTAGATCATTAAGATCATCAAGTCTAACCGTCAACCCAACACTACCATGCCCACTAAACCATGTCCCTAAGCACCTCATCTACATGTCTTTTAAATACTTCCAGGGATGGTGACTCCACCACTTCCCTGGGCAGCCTGTTCCAAGGCCTGACCACTCTTTCAGTAAAGAAATTTTTCCTAATGTCCAATCTAAACCTCCCCTGGCGCAACCTGAGGCCATTTCTTCTCGTCCTATCGCTGGTTACTTGGGAGAAGAGACCAACCCCCACCTCGCTACAACCTCCTTTCAGGTAGTTGTAGAGCGCGATGAGGTCTCCCCTCAGCCCCCTCTTCTCCAGGCTAAACAGCCCCAGTTCCCTCAGTCGCTCCTCATAAGACTTGTTCTCTAGACCCTTCACCGGCTTCGTTGCCCTTCTCTGGACATGCTCCAGCACGCTCCAGTTATATTTAAAAATATAACAGAGTAGTAAGGTAAACTGATCCTTGTGATAAAACACTGGTTGGTAACCTTAACAAGAGAGATGGCGTTTATTAATATGTACTGATTTAATTTGTTTCAGGATCCTATAAAACCAAAAGGCAAAACAAAAACACACAGTGGTGTGCAGTTTTCCAGCTTTGAAGTCCCTAATATATTCCAGCCCATGAAACTGAATTAAGAAGATGGAGCATCATGCTGAATAACAGACTTTCCCAAGCCCTTTAAGTGTAGGAGAGTGAGAAGTTTCTTGAAAGGTTGTACCCTTCATGGAAACAAATGTCAAGAAAAAGAATGTGAACAAAACCTGTAATGCTCTGCCAAGTGCTGGGGAGGCCGCTGCTAGTGTCTCTAGCATCTTGCCTTCAGAGCAGGTGTCAGATTTTTCCAGAATTTTGCCTGAAGTAGTACATCGAGAAGCTGGACCCCAGAAAAGACGACCAAGCACTGCAATAATATCAAAACGGTCAGTTTCTTCAAACATGTCTCGGATGCCACTGAATCGGCCCATCATCCCACCGAGAAGACCTTGCTTCAGGGTATGCTATATCTGTGGCAGAGAATTCGGGTCACAGTCTATTTCTATACATGAACCCCAGTGCCTAGAGAAGTGGCACATTGAAAACAATCAGCTACCAAGGCATCTCAGAAGAGCAGAGCCCAGGAAACCTGAGGTCATTACTGGTGGTTCCTGTATGCTTACAGCTGAAAATGAGGCAGCTTATCATAGTGCTCAAGCCCAGCTCCTGCCCTGTGGAAACTGTGGCCGAACCTTCCTTCCTGACCGTCTCATTGTGCACCAAAAGTGTTGCAGAGGAGGTAGTAGCAGTGTGGGGCTGTCAAGCTCTAGCCCCCATAAATCTGGTAAAGGCCCAAGCTCTGGGTCTGGCTCAGCAAGTGATGATCCATCTAAGACCTGTCAAGGAAAGAGCAGGGCTGCACCAGCCGTGTTAGACAAGGTAAATTGCTAAGCACATGCTGTATGAAAGGGTGTGGATGCATTTTGGTGCTAGGCACTCCAGGGGAGACTGGGTTCCCACCAAATTTGGAATCACTTTCCTTCAGAAGGATCTTTTGGCTCCGTGCAAATGTTTCTCTGCTGAATAGTAGATAAAAGAAAGGGGAATACTCTGTGCATAAGGGGAATCAAGTAATTTCTTATTTCTTTTGATTTTCCTGTTGAAAGGGAGTAGTTGGGTTCTCATACTCTGTGGCCCTGTGAGTTATGTCCCCAAAAGGGACCGTTGTGTGCTATAGTTCCCTAGGAGGTTCTGTTGAGCAGCTTAGGCAAGCTTTTAATGTTACATGTTTTAGTAGGTATTAGGTATTTTTATTCAGTTAACATGAAATACAATGTTTTATTATCCTGTAAGCACTCCAGTGATTTTCATTTTTTACCGTTATTCCTAACCTTGGCGTGGAACACAAGTTTACTGAGGACTGCATGTTCAAAGGCAGCAATTCAGAGTATAACAACAACAAAATAAATAAGACTGCACATTTCTTTCCACTGAATTTGATTCAAGATCCAAGAATAAAGAAGCTGATTCACATTATCCAAAAGCTACACAAAGTTTTGGAAAATGGCATATTTTTTCTGCATTTGTTTCTGCACAAGCTGTCTTTTGGCCAGGAGTGTTGTAAAAAGATAGATGTCTAAATTTAGGCCCAGTGTCTAAAATAAAAGGCGCTTTTTTTTTTCCAAAGGGAGTTGGACTCCTGATTGCCTACATTACGTTTGAAATGGGATTTAGCTTTCTCAGTCACCAAAGGAATGCAATGCTATGCAGAGCATTTCTAAAAATGTTTTAAAAGTCAAAGCATGCTGTATTTCAGTTTTCCAGCTGCTGAATAAAATGGAGGTAATAACATTATCCTAACAAACATGAGAATAAAGACAATGTGAGGCATTTTTATATTATGCTATTTGAGGCCACTAATTGGTAGATATTGGCAAATTAGGCCCACTCCTCAGGTCTTTTATCAGTAAATTTTAAATAACCCACAAACAGTTCAAAGTGCTGCGCAGGTGCATCTATAGCTATAGGAAAGGAGATGTTCTTGTGTTACACTACAAATTGTACCATTTACCAAAGAACTGGCATTGCTCTAAAGATGATTGTTCAATGAAAGGCATGTATGTGAGGCAGAGTTTTGTCCATCACACATAATTCTGTATGTTTAAAAAAAAGGAGGGGCAGCGGAATGTCCATAGTTATAATGTCATAAAAAAACAAGTTTAGAGTGTGGTTTGGCATTGAGAGTGGCTCTGTAAAAATGTTGCCCTCTTGCACAACATATCTGTTCCCTGTGTGGATTCAGTCACATCTGCTGACTTGTTGAACAACAACGTTATTGCCACTTTTTACTTTTGTGAGCTCTGCAGAGCCAGAATGAAATGTGTTTGAATCTGTTCTTCCTTCTGTGTGAACAACAGGTTTCGTCATTTACTTCCAAGCAGTTACAGTTCACCAGTTGCAGCACAACTAATGAGGCTGTACAGCTTGCGGTTTGTAATTGACTCTGAAGGACTTTATTATTAATTATGACTTTCAGGAAGGGATGATGGATTTTACCTCTCTGAGGTCCTTTATTTTACTATTTTTAGAACTGTCCTTCTGTACAGAGGTACGCATTAAAGGCAGAGGTAGGAAGGGAAAGAGTGATCCCAGGGGCTGTTCAGCACTGGCAGACTGTTTCTAAGAAGTGGTCAAAGGAAGCCTTTTTTCCATAGGTTTAAATTCTCTGTGTGAGGGTCTCCACTTCCACTTGAAAGTTTTGAATGGTCCACATATTGAAGAATGTTGAAAAGCACTAAGCTCGTGGAAGGACTGCAGATTCGCTACGAATAGGGACAAGGTCTGGGTCTCCTCTACAGTCTTCATCTTCTTCCAGCACATGGTTTTAATTTTGCTCACCTTACCAGCTACTCAGCTGCTTATTAATTCTGTTAAAAAATACCAGTAGTGAGTGAAACGGCAATCTGCTTCGGCCCTGGCAGGAAAGCATTTGGGGCAGTCCATGTCCTACTTAACAGACCTACTCACAGTGACAGTGAATTATTTAAGTACCTGTTTAAAGTCCTGATTCAGAAAAACATCGGAGGGAAGGAATAACTGAAAAAAACCCCAACCTTATATAAGGGTATTTAAGAACTGTAATACTACTGTCAAATTAATTTATGCAATGAAAGATGTCCTAAATCAAAAAGCAAGATTTTCCTCATTTTAAAAATAAAAGATCTGACTGATTTGGTGGTACACCATGTGAAGGGCATTTTAACTTTACAACTGCAAGCACTTTTGCCTGTGTGCCCCTGCCATGGAGCTCTCTCTCCCTTAGCAAGTTTAGATCAACTAGATCTAATTACTGACAAACACTTATTTAGTTTGGCATTAAATGCCTTTAGAGCTGGAGACTCAACAGCCTCCGTAAGCCATTCTTCCACTAACTGTCCTCGCTCCCAAAATGCATGAACACATCTGAGTTAATCATGTCTGGCTGTGTAAAACAAACAACAGCTTATGCTTAAGAGACTCTCAAGGATCACATCAGCTCAGAAATTCTGTTTTGGATTCTGCTGTGATACTACAGACAATGGAAGTGATGTCTGGAACTACAGAAATTCAGACTTGCACTAGAGCAGAGTGTGTTTTTTATTCTTTCATAGACCAAAATGTCTGCTACATGTAAGTGAGTATTAATGACTTGCTGTGGGTATATGTGTTACAGTTTTTTTGACAACAGATAACTCTGATCTTAAAATCCTATCAGACGTGTCACTAGCATCTGGTGCTGCCATCTGCTGTTTTCTTCTTATCAAGTTAACTGCCTAAAAATAAGATTTCAGTGATCTTCCTTTACTGTATTGTAATGCATTTTAACACAGCATAAGTCTTGAAAACTTGTTGATGTTGTATCTTGCTCTAGCATAAAGTCATCTAGTCACTTTGTAAAAGGAAAACTCCTTCAGATGCTGTGTAATTCTAACTAAGGTGGGAAGTCAATGATGAAGTTTGTTTGCCTCAGTTGCAGCAGTTTTGAACATCTTCTTAGGAGAATACTGGCAAAAACATTTGCAAATGTAGAAAGTCAGATAAGAAGGGACAGTGAATGGATGGTTTGAATGAAACTTATGAGTATTATCATTGGGAATGATTGAGCTTTCTGCCTTTCTGCTTTCACACAAATGCCATCTTCATCATACTGATATATTTCTTTTAAAAGATAGCACATCAGCAGTAAAATGGGATATTCTAGCGCTTCTAGTGGAGTAAAATCTTTAATTACCTGCATCATCTCGCAGAATTACCTTGCTGTTCAAGGACATTTCATACACAGGCGTATGACCAGTCCTAACATTAGTCTGCTGTTGTGTCGGGGCAGTGGCTGAAAGCACCCCAGAAGGCTGTGAAATGCACCTTTGGATGGCCGTGAGAGCCACGCTACAGCTTGTCCATGTCCCTTACGCAAAATGCCTCTTACTTTCCAGAGAGGAATGTGTGGAAAAGGCTGCTTTCATCCAACACGATGCAGTTGCTAAGTGTTTGTACCAATCTTTTCCAGAACCCCTGTTCCTTGGGTCATTCAAGCCTATGATGAGAGCTCTGGCCTAGAGCAGGAGGCCTCCCCTCCTCCCATTAAAATACACGGATAATTAAACAAATAAGAAAGGCGGGGGGGGTGCAGTCCTGGATGATAAATATTTATGTAGGGGAGTCTGGGAGTCAGTCTTATTGAGTGTACTTAAGAAGAAATTAAAAGCTTTGTGCAGTATGGGAGGATTTGACCTCATGTAACGCCATAACAGCAGCCTGGGGCTAACCTCAAGTAATGTCAGGTCTATTGAAAATACATAGCTGCATAGCCCTCTGAGCTAAATAACTTCATTCATGGTCACGCAGACATATTTAGCAGTCTTGGAGAAAAAAGAAAATACTGAGACACCAGAGGAAAGCCTAACTGCACTGTTAGGTATTTGTAGGTATTTTTATAATAACACATATCCCCGGGAACAGACCTTCCCTACAACCCTTTTTAAAAGTGAAAAACAAAGCAGTGAGCAGACAGCCTAGCCACTGGCCTGTGAGTAGTTTGGGTTGGAAAATTGTGGTGATTCCAAAAATAGTTTAGTTTCAAACTGCAGGCCTCCAGATGTGACATTTGGGATAGGCATACTCTGAAGAGAAAAATGAAGGATAAATATCATCAGCTGCAGAAATTCCAAATAAAGCTTATCACACCTTGGGCTCCACAGTTAAGAAACAAAAGAGCTGTTACTACCAATTGTACGGATATTCTTCCTCAGGTTTTATTTTTCAGCTTTTTAACATGTGTGTATTTGCAGAGAAGGATTTGTGTATATAATGTGTGGTGATGGTTCAAACTCACTACATTTCTGGAAAAAATAATTCCATCCTTAGAGTGATCTGATTCCTTTTAATTAATTCTGGTCTCTGCTATTGTTTCTGTACAGTTTTTAATTGTGGACGTTACAAAACAGAGACATTTCTACTTGAACAGATTTCTTAAACATTTTTTTCACCAAATAGGATTTAGTTATGAATCAATCCCAATCAATAACTTTGGAAAACAGAATCCTCTATTTAGCTGCAGGCCTGGTTTTGCTCAGTCACAACACAAAACCCACCTAAAAACGCTCTGTCAGGATCTGGAGGGATCACAGTGCTGCTCATTCAGTCTTTAGGTTTTCAGGTGAGACTACCAAAAAGAACTGTGGAAATGTATCCAGATTGCACTGGATGGAGATCACTAACGTTTGTCTTGCAGGTCTCCGGAAGCTGTTCAACAGTAGGACATCACAGTGACTTTAGAACAAGTGTAATGGATTTGAATGAAGCAGTCAGAGATAAAAGGATATCTCCGTTCACTAAGATGAAAAACTATTTGATTTTAACAACAATATTTCTGTGCATCTGTTAAATTTATTGGGAGTATTTAATTTTTTAAGTGATTTTTCACCTGTCTCATATCAGGACTTCAAGTGTCCTTGAAGCTATATATTTGTTTTTATTATACTGCCCCACACGGTGGAAATGATTGTGACAGTGCAGGCTAAGTAACCATGATTTTCATTTGTACTAGGATTCCTTTTTCCCGTTCTGGTACTATATAAAGGGTCCCTACAAACTGAATGTAAATCAAATTGCTCTTTCCTAGTTTTCAGCCAATAAATAATCTATTTTATTGAATGGCAGGAACTTAGCTAATGAAAATTAGAGAGGAAAATTTGTTCCAAATGTTTTTACACCTAGCTTTTTTTTAGAAAACCTTTTCTAAAATGCTGTAAGCATACCCATAACAAGCATGCACACTGAAATGAGTCCCCTGACCTCAAGAGGTTAGACTATAGTATCCTTATCTAAAGCTCTCCAGAGCCTACAAAGACACATACTCTGCCTTCAAAAGACTCTGTAACTGGACACAGAGTCTTATCTCCGAATCAGACAAGGTCTAGCTTAAGAGCTGAAGTAAGGAAGTAGGTGAAAACAGACAATGAAAAATTACAGGGCATTCTTAAAACGGCTGTTGCTGTATTCAGCTATGAATAGGAAGAGAAGGTTATATATATATATGGAGAGAGATATATATGTGTGTATATATATATAAAAACCTTTGTTATCAAAGATGGCTAAGGAAATTCCATTTGAAAGTTAAGAGGACGAAAATGTCCTTGGAAAGACTGTCTTTGGATAAGTCACATTTCAATTCACTGTGAGAACTTTCCAGATGAAGTCCAACTTTTCCCAGCAAAAATACTTTTTGTAGAGTAGTATTTCTTCATGTAATTGAGTTTACATGTGTGATACAGGAAAGAAAGCTTATTCAGATTGTTCACTAATGACATTTTCAGACTGTAGCATAAATATGAGAAGAGCTGCCCAGAATTTCTTGAATACACTGATGGGCTGACAGAGTCATAAATACTGGAACAGGTTACGCTTTGTCTTACACAGCAGCAGAGGAAAAAATGAAATCCCCACCTCCCTTGTTTGAGTGAGAAAGGCTTCCCGTGTTTGGTCTGGCATGGCTGTCCCTCTACCTTTTGGAGGGCAGGGAATAGCTCGTCTCTTACTGGTATTCTGCAGTCAGGAGTGCAGGAAGTGCTGGCAGTGGAGACCCATCAGCGTGCCTCAAAGTGCTGTCTCTGCAGTACGTTTTTATGCTACTCATGGAGCAGGGCTGGCACTGACACCACGCCTAGCCCAGGACATGCCTAAGGACACAGTCGAGTCCATAATCTGCAATACCACAGTAATTATATATTTTTCAAGCTTAGAATTTGTATTTGTGGAGTTTGGGGTTGAGGGATTTTTTTGTTCCGTTGAGCTGTTTTTCTCTGTGAACAAAAGCAGTGCAGAAACAATGACTTGCTTAGAGTCCAGCTCTGCCCTCGCTGCAGTCACTGGCAAAGTTCACACTGAGGCCTTTGGATAAACAAGCGGCAGTTCCTATTTTGCCCCCCCCTATCCTGAAATATCCTGGATCTGTTTTAATCCTTCAAGGCCAAGAATTCCACCAGCTAACTGATCTGTGGCAGAAGTAACATGGGGTTAGGGACCACAGTCACAAGCTTCAGACAGCTGCCCTCACTCCAACTTAAAAGAGATGCTAAAGCTGGACAAAGCACTTTAACTGTGTTCTGCCTGGAGACGGGGTCTTTCTGCTACTGCACTAGACATCAGCAGTTCAGCTGAGGAAGCTTTTGTTGCTGCTTTCCATGTTACTTCTGTTTGGTAGATAAAAAAAGGCCTTCAACATTTAAGATGGACACTGTACTGCAGCAACCTCATCAAGCAGAGGAGTTGTTTCTGCACATGAGGACTCAGCATTTCCATGAACATGATGGTGTGAAAATAAAAGAGCTAAAACCTACATAGCTAAGTATTAATTAGGTGACACACATGAATTTTCAGCCCAGTACCTGCAGAAGGAGCCTACCTGTTCCAGGTGGCCAGTTAATGTGGCAGTATCTCTTAAAAGCTTCAAGACTGAATCCAGACAAAATGAAACTTACAGAAACAGTTACACTGATTTCACAGATATGAATTGGTTTCTTAATCTACATGATTGTCTTCATCCAAAGTTGTTCTGATTTAAAATTAATGTTGAAAACAATATTTATTATTCTTCACAATTGATATTTGCAGGCACAAGTGATAAGACGGCCACCAGCAGTGATTTGTTACATATGTGGCCGTGAATACGGAACAAAATCTGTTAGTATCCATGAGCCACAATGCCTGAAAAAATGGCACCAGGACAATGACAAGCTACCCAAGCACTTGAGAAGGCCAGAGCCCAAAAAGCCTGAAGTCAGTCACATACAAGGTAAGCTACAGACCAAATGAGGAAATGGAAGGAAGAAAGTGGAAGAAAAAAAAGAATTTTAAGCAGTAGCTTAACGGCTTCCAAGTATTTCTTTCTCCATTTTACTCCAAAGACAAGCTAGCCATCATGGCTTGTTTTAAGCTTTCTGTTAAGTATCCTGTTCTCCCTCTGTGCTGCATCCATGAGAAGGAGGAGTAGTTGTTGCCTTGTAGGACATGCCTCCTGGGACAGTCCTCTTTTATGTGTCAGTATGCTCTGAATCAAACCACAAAAAATTAGCAACCCTCTTCACAGCTACTTTACTATCTTTTGACCTTTTAATGCTGTAGAAAGGCATATTTTAAAATGGGCGAAAGCATCCAAGAATAATGTACAGATTTGACACACACAGTCATTAAAATAAAATACCCTTCAGGCAACATAGGGATAGATACTTCGCCAGGTTTTACACCTATAGTGTCGGTTATAAAAAAAGCCTGACACTAGCAGTTAACAGTGGTAAACAGTGAGTGGCCTTGAAAATAGGAGTTCTGTGGTAAAATAAGAAACACAATACTAGATGCATGATGACTGATAGAAAATAAGGTATTTTTAAAACCTACCTATAACATATACTGTAGTTTCAGGGGTTTATTACAATATATTTATAGATAAAAATGCAGTATCTTCTACAATAAACATCCAGTGGATGTTATTGGTCCCTTTTTATTTACAAGCCTTAGAAGCTTTTTTTTGTGAGACATTATAATATAAACCCGGTGGGAAAAAATATATGTGGTATAAAATAAACATCTTATTTCTGCCAGTTATGTGCGTTTGTGCTGTGGGTTCTGTTTTGTAAGATGCCTACACCCCACTTCTTCAAATCAATGAAAATTGACAATCCCCAGCACCCGACAGAGCTGGGCTCCCATATGTATCCCGGGATGTGTGCTCACAGTAGGACCAAAAGGAAATCTTATCTGTGCTTTGCCTGGAAGCTGCTCCCAGGACTTCCCCATTCCCACATAAAGTTACTTCACCATTTCAGTTGGATGCTTTCCCTGGCCCTGCCAGCTGGTCCGAGCTACTTTGGGCCAAGCTTGGACCACTTGCTCACAGGCAGTTAATTCACCCACTTTTTTTTTGTATTCCCCATAATTTCCCACAGCTTCCTCTAGTGTCTGGAAAAGTAGAGAAATTCTCCTACAACTCACTGTGAAAGAGTCATACACTAGATCAGTTTACAGTAATACAAAGAAATATGTCCCCAGAAGACACACACAGAAGAGAGCAGGATCACTGAGAACACTAACCAGCTGTTCGAAATAATAATAATCGCAGCTCAAATAATATCAAATCAGGACTTGATTAACAGATGCCAAGCAGCAGAGTTGAATCTGCAGTAAAAGAGAGGTTCAAAAGACATTTTCATTGTATTTGCTCTTTTTGTTGTTAAGCTCTTTTTAATTATTGCATGTTGTGTGGTAAAAAAGATGGAGAAAATGAGAATTCCGTCTGAAAGGGGATGCAAAAGGACAAATCAGGTTATTTTGAAATACATTATTCTTATTTTGAAGGAGTGGAAGCAGAAAGACAACCACTTTTTGAGAGAACAATCCAGCAGAAGGCTCCCAGATATGAATCAGAAAATTGTCTCATTTATGCAGTGAGTCATATCAGGCGCCACGCATCTCCGATGAGGTGTTGTGTGCCCATGGTTCCCCAGGGGACACTGACCTGCTTCTAGCATCTGTCCCTGAATGCCTGCTGGTGCAAGTCTGATCAGTTCCGTAGCTTGAGCTAAAATTGTTGTTCCCCCTGCAGTTGCCTCATGCTCCTGGCCTCGAGAAAATAATCTCAGTGTTGTTCTTTTTCCGTAAGACTTACTCTCGATCATCTGGTAAATGCTATAACTGACCTTGAGACCACATACACGTACTGCATGTCTCACAGTTTCTCAACTTAGGGAGGAGGGATTACCCCTGTTGTTGAATGGAACAGGCAACGTTCAAAAAAAGCTCAGAAATATTAACTGCTTACATAAAACTTTTTATAACTTACATAAATCTTTTTCTGAAAACTCAAGTGTCACGGGAAGACAACCGCTGCCCTGATTACACAGGGTTTTGTTTGTGGAATGCCTAACACATGCCTGCAAGGAGAAAGTCATCTCTCTTTCTCCTTTTTTTTTTATATTCAATAAACTTTCCAAAGTACAGAAAATACACATTCATTTCCTGCAAGCAAAGGGGATATTTGTCTCAGCCAAGAAAAGAAACACTACTTGGTTGCTCTTCTAACAAAAAGAACATTAGGAACAGGCATATTAAGAGATCTAAGGCTTATTGTGGTTATGTGAACCATTGGATATGAATCATATTAAAACTGTATGGGCCTTTAATGAAGAGCTCTATCATGTGCCAATGACAGAAACCATGGAATATTTTTAAATGCACAAATCCTTTTCTTTTAAAAATTGTCTGCTGCTAACAGTTCAAAGACAAAAACAGTTTTTTAGTCTTTTCCTGTATTGTCATACCTTGTAAGAAGGATGAAGCAAATACATTTTCAAATCAAGCCACGTAGATTTTTTTCTGCCTACACTTCAAATGAAAACTCTTGAGATCTAAATCCAGGTATTAAGCAACCTACTGGCCTTTTTGGAAATACCACTATGTAAAAGTCCATTTCAAGATGAAAGCAAACAAGATTTTTTTATACTCAAATAAAATCTTGAAAATACATCTGATGTGTTTGAAGAATGCTCCTGAGCTTTCATAGCAGTCACTCTTCCTGCAGTGGAAAATAACTGAGGGTAAGACTGCATTAGTGTTTAGATGACAATAGATGTATCAGTGCAATGACCTCACTGGAAGTTGTGGCTTAAAAGAACTGTAGGTTTTGTCTGTAAGGTTTTAGGTTTACCTAAGCTTTACTCCATTTATTGGCAAAACCTGCATAGACTTCAACAGGAAGAAAACTGGGCCCCTTGTCCAGGACAGTACAAAGAGCATATTCTCAAGTATGATATGCTCCCGCCCATTGCCATGGTCAGATAACACATGCTCATTAAACAGAACTTGAAGTAAAGCCAAAAAGTGAAATTTGCTGATAATAGTATGTATGCAAAGATGTTAATAATTAGCTGAGAATGCATATCATAACACACAGCATGATGTTTTCTCTGTACTCTCATACAACACAAAATGATTCAGTTTTAAGTTAATTTAATTCAACCCCTGGGACAAAAAGCAGAGTCTTTTTTATATTTTTTTTACTCTTTTGCTTCTTTCTTTTCTTTCTTTTTCATTTGCAAAAGCAATATGGTTTGGTTAAACTGAAAGGCTCAGTCAACAGGTATTTCCTGAAAATATTTTCCATAAAGAGTTGAATGTGGGTCTCCAGAATGAAAGCTGATACTTTCTTTTTTTAATTTTCCAGCCAAAGGTTTCTATGATCTTGATTCTTTAAATGAGGCTGCCTGGATCAGCGCCCAGAACCAGCTAGTTCCATGTGATATTTGTGGGCGTACTTTTCTTCCAGACAGACTGATCGTCCACCAGCAGTCCTGTAAACCGAAACCTGCAACGTGAAGTGGATGTAACACACATGCATAAATATGCATGCGTCTGTGCATGAATACACACACATGCACCCATAACTTTCATCCAAACCATGAGAGAAATAAAATCCAGCTGGAGAGCCATGAGCCTCAAAACTGCAGTGTGTCGTCAGATCATGTGATCCAAAAGCCTCCAGAGTAAAATCAGCAGTTGCTACTGTAGTGTAAGGTCAAATATGGTGATTTTTTAGCCCAGCAGTGGCAAAAATTCATCCTCATTTCTGTCATTCAGGTAGTGTCACTTTGAAAACACAGTTTGAGAGGGATGGCATAAGAATACTGGAAAGTCATGTTAACTGTCATCTTCCTTCTCCTTATCCTGTGTTTTGTTGAGTGCAGGAGAACTCAAGTGAAGAATCTTCCCAGGTTGCTTTCTGAATTGCTGTGCTGTCTTCATCTCTGTTGTCAAATGTGGGATGTTCTTCAGCCGCACTCCTTTCACAGCCTTTCAGATTTAGCTATCTGGACCTTTGAAAGAAGTTGGACCTTCTGCATGCATTTCCCATTCTACATGGCAGGTTTCTTTCTTTGTATTCAGCGAAGGACAGAAAGAAATGAGCCATAGTTGTTAGGGGTCTTTCACTGCAGAAATCCCCAAGAGAGTATCCATCTCTTGGTATTGCTTTTCAACAGATCTGTGAGACTGGGAGAGATGGTATAATATCTGGAGCTCCCTTGTCCGCAGGGATATTTGGCTACACGTCCCTTGCTCAGTGAATATATTCACCTACTGTTTCAGAAACTGAAGCTTCAGACAACTTTTAGGAAATGAGAGTTTTGATGAGGAGTAACTCATTGAATCTCAGTGGAAGCAAGGCCAGAGTGATGTTGATCAGTAAAATTAATTCTTCGAAAATTTTGTTTCCCCTCTATCCAAGACTTGTCTAGTTAGTGTAAGGATCTCCAGCTGAACTTGACTAATCCGAGAAACCAAGTAGCTCCTTTGGGTTTGTTGTTTTGGGGGGGTTTTTTGTGTCCTTGTCCATCTTTGGCACAAGACTATTCACTGACTCCCACTCAGAGATTAAATACATGGAGCACTCCAGTGTTCACGTCCTTGTGGGACAGTGCAGCTCATGAAGCCCTTGACTGCTACAAGTGAAACATTCCCATATAAAGGGATCCAGCCATGGAGTGGAAGCAGAGGCTGGCTGTTTTTAGAAAACACCCCAAAAGTGCCCTCTTATTGGAGCACTTCTTGCTTAAGAATGATATTGACCATGTGATTTATCCTCAGCTCAATAAACCAATCATGCCAAAAATTTTATAAGTCAGAGGAGCACATCTTTGTCATGAACTTGGTAAAAGAAAACATATTTTTATGTCAAGCCAAAACAAGCATCGTGTGTCAGATGGGTGGAATAAAATACCACCCTGCTCTCTGTGCCAAATGTGACCATAACAGAGTGTCAGTATGGGCAAGAAGGGTAGGTATTATACAAGAAAGCAGTGGGAAAGGTGTTTGAACGTACTATTTTGAAAAATGCTATTATGTTACTTAGCAGAATCAGTGCCAAAACACATCAGTGAATAGGTTAAACACATGAAGGAGGTAATATTCCCTTCAACAAGCTACAGCAGAGAGCACTTTTTATTATTACTTTACTTACTCCGAAGTGTTTTATTAAGTAGTCAGTGAGATTATTCAAAAGGTATGACAAAATCCAATACAAGTTGTTAACCGGCAATATAGGCTTCCTGATATTATGACAGAAGCAGTACCTCATGTATGTTTTTACCTTCAGGCTTAAGGCCTAGGGCTGGCTATTACATATTTTGTGATCAATGTGACTTTTCTCAGAGGCTTCACACTTATTATTGTACTTACAACTCAGATGAAGTGGATGTCTTCATACACACTAAAATGAAATAGGGTACCAGCAAATTTTCTTTTCCAAGCTATCAAGCTGTGTGATTTGTGGTGTAAGTGAAATAAGAAGTAATATCACTGTTCTGTTATTAGAGGAACACTTCTGGCTCTAGCCATGCCGGGCTGTTAATTCAGACTTGGAGAGGTACCAGCATTCTTTGGTGAAAATAATTTCCAAAACAATCAATGGCACCTCAGCAGCCCTTTCATCTTCAGAATGAGAATTGTGTTGTCTGAAGATAGATATTTTCAGGAGTCAAAGGTTCAGTTTCTGTTCTACAGTGCAAAGCTGTGTAAACCCCACAGATCTGTCCTTGTTAGTGTCTCCAATGTAAGGAGAGTCACTGGCGGAGCTAGACCGGTGCCGTCTCTCCTCTTTTTGGCTGGGAGAAGGTATGTGGCCTGAGGAAAGAAGAACAGGGACACTAGTTTGTGATTGCTAGACTGGCTCCTAGGAGCTTTTGGCAGGCAACATACACTGCAAGACTCTGGAGGCTGTTGTAATTCACATCAAGTGCTGGCCCACTGACGAGCAGCTTGGTAATTGGAAGATTATGGATGTCGTGCAATCTCACCTTTGTGTCCCCTCTTTCTCTTCTTGGACCTCTCTTCCTTTTGTCAGATATGATAAGCATTTTTTGGCTACATCTGCCTCACTGACTCATCAAGATTCATTACAGAGTCACTTCAAGAGCAGAAACATGTTTTAAAGAAACTCAACAGCCTTTGGCATTAAAAATTTAGCCCTGTCTTTTGGTGGGATTCAGATGTCAGAGTCCTTGTGTTATTCTGAAAGTTGGACTCAGAGTCCTGATGATTTTAGTTCTGTCAGAAATTTCACTGTGTTTCATTGTCAGCTCTACTTTTGCCTATTTTTTACTTTCTGGATTATTATCCCAAAAAGCAATAAAATCTGCCTGAAGAGCTGAGCAGAGTATTTGTAAACAATCACAAATGTACTGATATTAACCGTGCTGTTGTGCCTTGCCCAGAAATACCAGTGAATGGGAGCTCCTGAAGCCATAAGCCTGAAGTATGGTTTCCACATCAGCCTTTGAGGGAGTCAAATGAGGATTTGGCAAATTAAGAGCAAATTAAGCAAATTAAGCCTCTGCTTACAGGAGATTGCTGCTGAGCTCTGAACTTGACATGGGATCTGTGAAATGGTGAGCCTTACCACTCACAGAGGCAAGTCAACAGTGTGCTGTGAGGGCTGACGGTGAGACCAGAGCATGCAGGAGCTCAGCAGGAGGCATCAGCCACATTTCTAGGTTACTCTGTCATGAGCTTTTCTGTTGAGCTCAGCAGCCCTGGTGTTAGTTTGTGCCAACGATGATGGTGAGTTCTGTGGCAAGATTTGTTCACTGGGAGAAAAACTGATAGTGCCTTCATGGTTTGCTCTCAGCAGAGTTAAATTGAGATCTTATGAGCATTTTTCATTATTGCTTGGCATTTATCATTCTGACTTTTTTGCAGAAGAGGAAATGGAAATGAGAAATTGAGCTACTTTGCTTCCTTTGTTTCTGTACTTTAGTGATTTGTCACTTAACCTTATCTCGTCCACTGTTGGCTCACAGTGATTTCCAGTTCAATCCCAAGTTTCCTACTGGCACAACACATCTAAAGAGCTGAAAAATGTTTTCCTATACCTCAAAAACAGTGACATTCCATCTAGTTTGCCACAAATGTGCTGATAGCAGCTAAAACTATTCCTGGACAAAATATACAGAAAGTCAGAACATGGATTGACAAGCAAAGTTCAATCACATTAAACAAATGAGCATCCACTTTCAGACTGTAAATAAAATCCAACTGACGTTTTAGTTCAGCCAGTTGAACCTACCAGTTCCAACTAAAAAATTAGACATTTTACAAAAGCAATCCTGAAGATCATAGTCAAGCTAGATTAGTTTAATTGCAGACTTCAAAAATTGGACATTAATGAAAGAACCCATAACTTTAGATAAATATTATATGTAAAGTGGTATAGTTTAGCAAGTTGAGAATGTCACTGTCCTTTAGTTACCATACTAGCTTCAAAAGGTCCCTCATCTTTAAGAGCAGTAGCAAAAAACGCCTAGCAGGCCTTAACAAAACAGTTTCATGGATCCTTTTTCTTAAAGACTACCAACACTTAGTAGACCACAGCTTGAGGAACAAAAAATTTGTAAATGCCATATCAGTTTCTATCTAAAAGGTAATGAGAACCTACATAGATCTGTGGATTCTCTCTGCATAGACCTGGAAAATATATAGCACTGTATAGAAATTATGTTTTCAACACTGCCTCCTAACCACTGACAATTTGTATGCTTAAGCTTTAATTCAGGATTTGTAAACATAAAATTTGATTTTGTAGTCACTGAAGCCAAGGCCCACACTAGCATATGGGTACAGGATAGAGCCAGAAAAGCTAAGGGATCGATCAGATATTGGCATGTATATGCCTTAATCAAATCAGTTCCCAGAGGTTTTTATGATGGCACACAAGCTTTCATGGCCTATGTTTGTTTAATAGTAGAATTTCATAATTGAGAATTAAGGGTTTTATTATTACACTGTTCAGGGAGCTGGTCCATGCAGAAAGAATTCTAGGGAGGCTCTTGTCTGAATCAGTATTTTCTTCGGGGCTCCTGTCTGCCCAGGTGGTTAGTTTTGCTTTACTGTCAGTGGGATAGGGTTTCCCGAATTCTGTATTTCTGAATTGTGTCAACCAAAGTGGGTCCAAATGAGTTTGCTGTATCTGGAGACAGGACAGTAGGATCACTCAAAAGCAGGATTCAACAGAGGCATGAGGTCCACTAGGAAACAAAACCTACAAGCCTGGAAAACCCTCCAAGAAGTTGCCTGAGGGATTGTCTACATTCTTGCATGCTGTTACTCGCTTGTTCCTCAGTCAATATCATAACTGACATACACAGAGTATTATTGACTCTAGGGCACACAAGGATTAGGGACTCATCTTAAATCTACATTTCTTAGAAAACTTCTGGCATTTGCAGTTCAAGAAAAATTGTTATAATCTGCACAGGGTTGAGAAGAGAGCCATGATTATAGAACTAGAAAATCTACCTGACAAGTGAGACTCCAAGAGGTCACAC